TGCCTCTGCCTGCCACTCTGTCTGCTTGTGCTCACTCTCGCGCTCTCTCTCTCTGACAAATAAATAAATAAAATCTTTAAAAAAAAAAAAAAAAAGAAGATGAAATCAGAGAGAGAGACAAATCATGAGACTCTTAAGCATAGGAAACAAACAGGGATGCTTGAGGGGAGGAAGATGGAGAGGATGGGATAACTGGGTGATGGACAGTAAGGAGGGCACATGATGTAATGAGCACTGGGTATTATATAAGACTGATGAATCACTGACCTCTACCTCTGAAACCAATAATACATTAAATATTGATTGAATTTAAATAAAAATTATTTTTAAAAGAACACTAAAATATCTTTATAAATATTCTCCATGTGTTCAAAAAAGTAGAAGAAAGATGAACATGATGAGGAAATAAAGGGAAGATATAAAAATACTGAAATCAAACTTCTGTAATGAAAAGTACACTGATATGGGGCACCTGGTTGGCTCAGTCAGAAGGGTGTGCAACTCTTGATCCAGGGTCATGAGTTCAAGCCCCACATTGGATATAGAGATTACTTAAATAAAAACCTTAAAAAAAAAAAGAAGTACACTGATAGGGTTAATGACAAGTTTATGTGAGTTAATAACAGATTTTTTTTCTCAATTCTTAATCTCTTTAAAAATAACTAAAGCAAAAATAATTTCAAATTATTGTGACATTATAGCATATATAGAAGTAGAATATATGACCACAGTAGTGAAGATGAGATGGGAGAAATGGAAGAACACTCTTGTGTTGATGAGATGATGAGATGGGAGAAATGGAAGAACACTCTTGTAAGGTTCATATACTAATGTTAAGTGGGACACTGTGATAGGTTAGAGATGTATATTGTAAACCTCAGAGCAACCACTAAAAAATAAAGCAGTATAGCTAGTAAAGCAATAGTCAAGGTAAAAACAAAATCATTAAAAAAATAAAAAAACAACTAAACTCATTCAACAAGGTAGGGATAAAAAAAGAAACAAAGAAGAGATAAGATAAAAACAAATATCAAGAGAATAAATTTACACACAATGATATTGATAATTAAATTAAATAGAAAAGTTCTAAGTACCCCAATATAAACAGCAGAGATTGTCAATTGGATAATAAAGTAAGACCTAACTTTATGTTGTCTAGAGAAAACCCTCATAACACATAAAGACATGAAGTTAAAAATAAAAGGATGGAAAAGATTCACCATGCATCCATGAATCAAAGGAAGCTGGAGTGACTATATTAAAATCAGACAAAGCAGATTTTAGAACAGTGAATACTAGAGATAAGAGAGACGTTGCATTATTATAAAGGGGCCATTTCATCAACAGGATTTAGTAATTCTAAAGATCAGCAAGGAAATGATTGCCATAAAAATCAGAACAGGGCTCACCTGTAGGGGAGTGAAAGAAGGATAATTAAAAGGGAAATTGGACAATGTTATGTTTCTTGAGTATTTACTTTTGAGGTTATAATTTTTATGAAATTTTCTACATAAGTGTTTAATCTTACGAGTAAAAGGTTTTGGGTTTTTTTTAATTTAGGTTCATACAACATGAGGTAATGTGAGATAAATATGAAAACTAAGAAAGCTAAGTTCAGACTAGCTCTTAGACAGCTGTCCTAATACCATGGCAGAGAATCTAACTGGATCTACCTAAACAAGTGTGAAATTAATTGCAAAATACTGAAATTCATAGAAAAATAGAAAAGAAAAACCAAACACTCAATAGCCCCATGCATTAAAGAAAGCCAGTACTCAAAAAATCTTCAGTGAAGCTTTCCAAAATTAATTATATAGAATCTTTCATCAATAGGCTAAAAGTGTACATGAAATACTGACCTCAAGTAAAACCACAAGAAAAACAAAGTGTTTATACTGATTAGCTCCATGAAAGAAGGGACTTGTCTGTTTTATTCACAATTGTATACATAATGTTTACATTTAGAGTGGCAAACTGTTCTAGCATGCTCAGGACATAGAACTTTCAGTGCTAAAACCATGTTCCCATATAAATCAAGATGTCTGGCCACCCTATCGTAGTGCCCTGCATACTAATCAATAAATAGAGAATTCATAGGTGATATTCTAAACTACACCTTTAGTCATTCATTTAACAATAGTGAATGCTTTATTGTGTGTGGAGAGAGGCAGTGAGGGTATAATAATGAATAAGCCAAAACTCTGGCTTCTAATAATGGGAAAACCAGAATAATAAATAATAATACTACAAACAGTGCTACCAATAATTAAGGTATAAAATATAGGAGAAGATGATTCTGGAGACTTAGGGTTAGTGGAGTGTGAGATAAAAGGTTTGATTTGGGACATATGGATACACCGGCATGTGAAGTGCCAACTACAAATGATAAATCAAACTGTCAGACAGAAAGAAGAAATTAAGAATACAGGAGAAAGATTTGAAAAGAAATAAGTTCAGTCTGGGAAATATTGAGTTTGAGGCACCAACAGCAGAAGATAAATCAAACTGGCATGAAGCAATAAAAGTTAGTCCATTCTGAGAAAGAAGGTGGGCAGCATGTGATTAAAGGGCAAGTTCTATAGCCACAGCTACTGCCTCAAAACAAAAGGGTCATTCTTCATATAAAAGCAATAACTAGACCTCTGAAACATACTCATCTTCAGGGATATCATCATATACAGCAATCACATATATATTGTTTATTTAAAGACAGACTGCATTCCCTGAGGTGGTCTCCCTAAATTCTGACTGGCTAAAAAGATAAATCATTATTGGTGGCATAAGCTCATGGGCATGAGTGCAGACCATGGACAGCTCATGCCTCTATAGCAGGTAAAGCTAACCACTCCTCCATCAAAGAAATCTGGGAAAGAATATATTTAGGAGCTAGTGTTACCCAGCTTAGATAACTAATATTGAACCAATATAGATAATTAATATACAGCTGATGTGGGTGCCATTTATTATGTAAATCAAGTTTAAAAAGCAATTAAATTTTCCTTAGCACAATATGCCAGGAGACGTCAGATTACTAAAAAGACTTTATTTTTATCCTATTTTACTAGGCTGGTTGCCTCTGGAGAAAATTTGCTTTGATGAGAAAAAATATCCTTCCTTCTTAGATAAATGTGAGAAAATCAGGAATAGCTCTCAATAATCTGGAATTGGAACATCAGTCTCTCTCCTACTTGTGAAATCGGAGCAGCTCAGTGTGTTCTTTTTAGGCTGCAAATCCTGGGTTGAAAAGAGTCTCTCTGATTAAATGGCTGAAGGCTGAGGCAATGAAGTTTACAGACTGGGATGAAAAGAATTTCCTGAGGAAAATGTGAAGATAATAAACTGGAAGATTGACCAAGAAGGCTACAGTAATATGAGAGTGGTAATTAGGAAGGAGAAAAGTTAGAAATAACAAGTATTTGCATCTTTCTTATGAAGATCTAAGATTATAAATTCCTCTGCTCTACTGTAGTTGAAGGTAACAAGTTATTTAAAGTCCTAACATCTATTCTTCCTACATCATACTCTATAAAAATCTACCTGACTCTTAATTGAATTAACTGTGTATATTTCTCCATAGACCAGTGTGTCGCTGATCTTAAAGAAGGGTAAAACAGAATAAACCTAGGAAAGATATAATAGCTACTTTTAAATTATCCAGTAGAGAAATAATACCTGTACCTTCTATTAATTATCACCATGTTGTTGCTAAGTATTGCTAAAACAGGCTCAATAGGATGCAGCTGCTTCTTTGCTAAGCATAGAATTTCCTAGTTTCTTTCACAAGTCAGCAAGGCAAAATTCTATAAAACAGTAAAAGCAGGGCCTTGCAACACTCCACTTACTGCTTTCTAAGCAGAGTTCACATAAGTCATGTAGTGAGTTTTTAATTCTGCTATGTGTAGCCCATTAGACATTTTTTTTAATTTTATTCCAAGAATTACTGTTTGTTATTTTTTAAAACTTTAAAAGATGATGGGGCGCCTGGGTGGCTCAGTGGGTTAGGCCTCTGCCTTCAGTTCAGGTCCTGATCTCGGGGTCCTGCGATCGAGCCCCGCATCGGGCCCCCTGCTCAGCGGGAAACCTGCTTCTCCCTCTCTACCTGCCTCTCTGTCTACTTGTGATTTCTCTGTCAAATAAATAAATAAAATCTTTTAAAAAAATTTTAAAGCTGAGAGTAACAATAAAGATCATGGCTATTGCCCCCAAGAGAATCACATTTAGTGTGGCAGCCAGATAAGTTAACAGATAATTAAGATATAATATCAAAGTCCTATGAAAGAGTCATTAAGGAGTCAAAGAAAGACTTTGAGAAATAGTAGAGTCAAAGAACAATTTCACTTTACCTGAGTCTAAAAGAGTAAGTAGGACTCAATGAGGTTAGGAAGGAAGGAACAGCATACTGGGCAAAGTATCAGCAGCTACTAAAGCATAGAGGTGAGCGAGCATAAATTTCTAGAAAATGCGAAGTTGAAACTACTGAAATGTATGTGGGGTGAATGCTGGGTATAGGTGAGAGAGAATGTGAGAGGCTTACTACCACGCAAATTATAGTTTTTCCCTTGTAAATCTGCATTTCCTCTGTTGTTACACAGTATTTTAAACAAATGCCATTACTGTGTTTACATGACTGATGACATTAGAGTAGTAGGTTGATTTAGGTTTTTCTGGAGTGCAGATTTGTCATTGTTTTAATTTTTGAATTTTGCTGCTTTTCAGCATCTGATATCAATATCAATGTTCTTGGAGCCTATATCTGTATTTAATACAATTGAGTTGTTATAAGCATTAACCTCCCTAACAATGTATTAACCACCAATCATAACCCAAAATACTTATACATGTGATGCTTTTCAATCCTTATTTTATTTTGACACAGCTGAACACTGTCTTTAATTTGTTACACTTACTAAGGTACCATTGTGTTTAACAAGTACACAGAAGCGAGCCTGGCTGAAAGTGAGGTGTCTGTCACAGGAGGCTTGCCTTTCCCTACCTCTTACCTGTTGCCTGCTGCTTCAGGAAAGGTACCTGGTAGGATCCAGGACCCACATGCTCCTCAGTGCTGCCACCTTCAGCCAATCTGAACAAGCGGGGAGCTCGATCATACATAATTCTGGGAGGGAGGGGCGGAGCGGGAGAAGCCGCCGCTGCAAAAAGGGTAAAAACAAAGCGACTAGAGGCGTGGAGCAAAAGGAAGCTGACGACGGTCTGAAGAGGGTCGAACAGAACTTGAATAAATGGACGAGCTAACCACAGAGGCTATCTCCCTACCTGCTCACTGGGGTCAGATTTTTCTCTAGCTCAATTTATAGCCCGGTGGTACAGTGAAAGGGAGGGCGACCAGGAATAAGATACCCCTCACAACCATCTAACTGTTCACCAGGCACAAACTGAAGTACTCCGCTAGGAAAGGAGATTAAAAAGTAGGCGCCAGTCCCTGTACTCCCGGTCTTCCCTCCGCCCATTTCTCTCCGCCCCGGAAGTCTCTAGGAGCGAGGGGTCGTAGTACTCCTCCCCCGCCAAGCTCTCGGAGCACGCGCACTGAGCTGCGGACGTCCCTCCTTGTTCCGCCCTTCGCTCACCGCGTACTCAAAAGTAGAGCCGGGGTAATGGGGCAGGTCATCTTGCGGCGCCAACGGCTTTAAGGTTTGTGCTTGTCGGAAGAGCTCTGGAAAATACGTTAGAAGGGGTTAGAGCTCGCTTGACCATGATCTCTTTCTTCTATGAACCAGTTAGAGCGGCAGGAAAGACAATAGCAAAAATTGTGAAAGAAAAAAACCATTCTCTTCGCAGAGCCCGGGTTCCGCAAATCAGCCCCCCCCCAGCTACTACAACTACATTCGCACCCACAGAGGGAAAACACCTCTGACTCTATCGTACAGATAATCCCAAACCAAGAAGAGAATCTCAGGAAGTGGTGGTGACAAGAAACAGGGAACCGGAGGAAGGAGAGGAAAAGCTCACAGACAGAAGCAATGCAAAGGCCGGGTAACAGAAAGCTCTGTTTGTTGTCACATGCCAGGCAACCGCAACATTGACTCCTCACTCTGTTTATAACCAAGGGCTTGAAAAGGCCCAGTCCACCCACCCCCACCCCGAACCAATGAGACTCTTAACCTCAGGTAAAAGGAACCTGGCTTGTGCAATGGTCTTGAGTCTGTGTCAGAATCCACCTTAAAATGTCCTCTGGCTGTTTTGTTTTGTTTTGTTTCCCCAGCAAGAAGCCCTTCCACATTCTAATCATCTTTAAAGGATTAAATAGATACTGTCTTGACCACGCCTCACCCCCAATGAGCTACAATACTTTAACTTGCAACTACTACAAAGTTTTATAGTATTTATACTCTGCAGAACACGATTTGATACCCAATTCTGTGGGTCATTTGTTATGACAGTTGTTCCATAAAAGTGAGATGATTTCCATACAAAGCTGTATGCTTCTACAGGATATATCTAATACGTTTTTCTTTTTCCTATTCAGTATCTAGCTGAATAATCATTTTCTTAAAACACATTGGCAGGGGCGCCTGGGTGGCTCAGTGGGTTAAACCTCTGCCTTTGGCTCAGGTCATGATCTCAGGGTCCTGGGATCGAGCTCGGCATCGGGCTCTCTGCTCAGCAGAGAGCCTGCTTCCCCCTCTCTCTCTGCCTACTTCTGATCTCTCTCTCTGTGTCAAATAAATAAAATCTTAAAACACACACACATTGACAAATACATAGAGATAGATAGAGATATAGATATAAAGGCATATACTATAGACTGCTGCTAGGCTATGGGGATACAAAAATAGGACAAGTTCAGCCTCAGACATTCTGTAAGGAATGGAGAAAGAGATGTGTATCAGCGGTAATATGAGATGACAAGAGAGATGTATAAAATAAAAAAATATATATTGCAGGACTTTGGAAACTGCCTCTTCCTACTAAGAAACTAGATGTTGATCCATAATCCTTTCTCATGGACTTATTTCTCCTTGCATGCTTGCAGAAAGCCTCATAATTTCCTCAAAGTTATTTAAACCTTATTTTCCCAATCTTCCACAGATACCCTTTGAGATCTAGAACCCATTTACTACCGCATTTTACGATATTGTATGAAAAGAGAAAAATCTGTATGCTTTGGAGGATGATCCAGTGGTGCTGTAAATTAGCTTTCTAGTGGTGGACATTCCTTAGGGACTTTATTTTCCCTTAACCCCAACAAGAATAGAAACCCAGACTGCAATTTCAAGTCTAGGCCATCTTTGTAGAAAACACTGGTGCGGACTGACAACCTCCTTCTGGCTGTTCAAGTCTGTTGTGGCCTTGATTACTCTTTCCTTGGATATATTTGGGTTTGAGATTGGGAATGGAAATCATAAAGGTTTATCTGCTTTTTGTTTGATCTGAAATTTGGCCAGTGAGCCTAACCTAATTTAAGCAGAAGGAGTTCTTCATACGGTTTATCCTAGCTCATTTGCAGATCTCTAAACAGGACTTTGTGACCTTAAAACCTTTGTACCAGGTACAAATACAGTGTTTTTCTATCTTGCCTGTTTCCTCAGTGCATGTTCTTTTCTCAAGGACCTCATAGAAGGGTAACTGATGAATGGTACTATATTGTTGCTGGGTCTTGTGGCCGGATCTATCTAAATAACAGCTCTGGGGGCTCCTGGGTGCCTCAGTCATTAAGCGTCTGCCTTCTGCTCAGGTCAAGATCCTGGGGTCCTGAGATTGAGCCCCGCCTTGGGCTCCCCATTCAGTGGGAAGCCTGCTTCTCCCTCGTGCACTACCCCTGCTTGTGTTCCCTCTCTCTCTCTCTTTCTATCAAATAAACAAATAAAATCTTTTAATTAATAAAATATTTTAATAAATAAATAAATAACACACCTCTGTATCTAAATAAAGGTACACCCTCAACACTTTATAATTTTATAATACTTGGTGTTTCTCAGAATCTCCATTCTTTTTTTTTTTAAGATTTTTATTTATTTATTTGACAGAGAGAGATCACAAGCAGGCAGAGAGGCAGGCAGAGAGAGAGGAGGAAGCAGGCTCCCTGCTGAGCAGAGAGCCCGATGCGGGGCTCGATGCCAGGACCCTGAGACCAGGGCCCGAGCCAAAGGCAGCGGCTTAACCCACTGAGCCACCCAGGCGCCCCCAGAATCTCCATTCTTAACACAGAGTCTTTCTTTAAAAGTTTTTAGTGTGAAAATCCTTCCTCTGTTTCCTGAATCACTGTAGCTGTTCTACCTTTCCCGGCTATTATTTCTTTCTTACGATTCAGTAACAAGAATGGTACACCATATTTTGGGATTGGAAAATCTTTTTAAAGGAGAACAGTAAATCTTTTTCATTATCTCTCATTGTAGTAAATATTTCCTGAATAGTTTTAAATGAATGTGCTGCAGGAAAAAATAAATACATTAACATAGAATTATAATTACATATAAAGACGAAATAAAGAATTTGACTCAGCACTTCTCAGTTCCTGCAAAATAGTCTTAATGCTAATTAACCACCCTATACAGTTATTTTCATGGTATTAGTAAGAAATGGAACCCATATTTGAACTAAGATTTATTTGACTACAAAATTTGGATTCTTTCCATTCCTCCATGTTGGCTACCACTAGAATAAATAAATCAGATTGATTCTTTATCAAATATGTTACCTGCAACGAAGAACTCCATAGTCACCAATTTTTCCATACAACATTCTGAGGATTAAGTAGATAGCAGGTGATATCTGGAGTATTGCATGAGATGTGGGAATTCTTCCTTCAATAGCTTTAAATACCTTATAAATATTATAAAACTGAATTGGTTTTGAAAACTAATTTCTTCAGCCCATTATGATTTGGTTTCCATTGTTTTGCTTTTTTTCTTAAATAAAAATCAAATAATGGTGATACATAACTTGGCATGTATTATACAACAGAATATACTTTGTCAATGTTATTAGTAGTCACATTGTAAAGTGATATGTATTCAAGTTAAAATGGTGAAAATACTTATGTAATCATTTGAAGTTCATAAAGTATATTTTATGTTCAGTATTTTGTTTAATATAAATTTCTTTCTCTAAACTGCAGACATATTATGATTCTGAAATACGAAAATTTCATGAAATGTGTTTTAAAAATTATACCATGTTATCAGTGACCACCTGACTTTTTTTCACTTACATTCATTGAACACCTATTATATGCTAGCACTGTGAAGCACCTTATACCAATAATCTAAATCTTTTCTCATATAACTCATGAAGTAGGTTCTATTACTGTCTTTATTAGTATGCTGAAAGCCACTAAATTTCTCACCCAATATCACATAGTTAATGAATAATGGAGCTGGATTTCAAACTAGTTAATTTGACTCTAGACCTATTTTCTCCTTTCTTTTTTTTTTTTTTTTTAAGTATGTTCCAGTGTGGGGCTTGAACTCATAACCCTAAGCTCGAGACCTGAGCTGATATCGAGAGTTGGGCACTTAACCTACTGAGTCACCCAGGCCCCCCTCTAGACCTGTTTTCATAGCCATTATAAGGGACATGTCCCCAGCTATGCTTTACTTTCACACCCAGTAATTTTTTCCTCAGTTCTTATTTGAGATTGACTGTATGTTTGTTAATTCATCTAAAAAGAAAGTCTGGAGGTAGTCTTTCAGGGGTGATATGGTGGCTCCTTCGTGGCAGGGAACCAGGATGTTCTATTATGCTGCTCCACATCTTGATGTATGCCTCCCAGTCTAAGCTGAGCTCATGGTCTAAAAATTATCTGCTAGAATTCCAGGCATTATAAGCAGCAGGAAGAGAAAACAAAGTATAGCCCCCTTCCTTTTCAAAGAGACTTCCGAGAAGTAACACATAGAAAATACATGCTTACATTTCATTGGCCCAAACTATGTCAGCAGGTACATATAGCTATAAAAGAGGCTGGAAAACATAGCCCATCTCTGGGTATCAGGTTCTATTATTAAGGAACAGGGAGTCTGTGTAAAAGAGAAACACCACTCAGTTTTTTCCACAATTGCTTATTTGGGAAAGCTTCCTTTCTCTTGGTGTCCAAGGTACCGTACTTTCCAGGTTCTCATTATACTGTCCCTTAACAGCATCTACTGTCTCCTCTA